CCCCAAAACCCCAAAACCCCAAAACCCCAAAACCCCAAAACCCCAAAACCCCTTCTTTTCTAATATTGTTTGAACTATATAAAAATGTCTAAATATCAAAGACTCCCAGAGGATGCCAATCCAGAGGCTGACCAAGCAGAGTCCTCAGCCGAGAGAAGTACGGCCCTTAACTCATGTCTAGAGGAATCTTTAGAACTCAACCAGAACGAACGGATGAAGAAGATAAACCACACTGATACTAGTGAGGATAATTCCAATGAATCCGGTGTTAGCGGTAAGGCATCCTTAAGCATCACGATTGGGATGCCCTCTTTTACTTGTGCATAAGCATCCAATTGGATTTGCTTCAGTTCTGTCTTCCTAGGACATTTATTGACAAGGCGGCTTTCTCCAATTTAGCCGGAGGAAAACTGAAACAAGTCTTGAAGAGTTTTTAATTAATAATATAGAAGCAAGAAATAGCCATCTGAAGAAATCAGACTCATTAAAACAGGCAAAAAGACAGAGCCCCTTCCAGTATAACGAGGATAACAAATCAGAGGAACAGTCCTTTGCGTACCAGTCTTCTGGGAGTAAGAATCAACAGGAACAGCAATATTCAGATGACAATAGAGGATCTGGAGCAGAGAGGTTTACCAACTCTAGTAACCTCCGATCAACTCTTCCTTTAAGCCCATTCTACGGCAAGTTTATTGAGAGCTTGAGAGGAAGAAGGATGCGTAATGTGAAACAAGATTTACACAATCACAGAGCTATGTTCTACCAACCCATTGACGAAATGAATAAGACTGCCTTACACATCGCTTGTGAAAAATAACAGTTTTGAGATAGTAAAGCTCATCATTGAAAAATTATTCGATGGCCTCGAGCTGACAAACAGAGGAAGAGGGCAGAGAAGGATTACCAAAGTTGAATTCATTAACTTGCAAAATAATGATGGCCTAACTGCTATACACTATGCAGCATTTAGAGGAAACATCAAGATCCTGAAGTACCTATGTGATGAGCATCAAGGAGATCCCTACATTAAGGATAATGATGGACACAACGTAATTCACATAGCTGCACAGGCTGACAAAGTAAACGTGATCCACTACTTTATCAAAAACTTTAATTTTGATGTAAATGATCGTGACAACAAAGATTCTTCAGCATTGCACTGGGCTGCGTACCTCAATAAGGAAATATCTCTGACATATCTAATCGCATGGGGAGCCAACGTAAATGCAACTGATGCTGAAAACAACACTCCTCTGCACTTAGCAGTGCTTACCTCTGAAAATGTGAAAGAGTCAAGATGAGTCAAGATCTTACTCCTCAAAGGCGCAAGCAGAAAGATCGAAAACCATGAAGGCAAAAGACCCAGTGACTTAATCAAGGAAGGAGATATGTACGATGAACTCCACTCTATTCTAAAAGAGCAGAGGTACTGAACATGACTTTTGATTAAAGTTCCTTTTGCGAAAATTGAAAGGAACGAAAGAACTGCGATATTCTTTCTAATACTATACATCCTATTGAATGCCATTGCAGGCTTATACATCGTTCCAATGTGTAGCCCTATTCATTATGAGGCAGCTGGAGTGATTGGGTTTCTGTCATTCATAATGCTCCTTACTTTTATTCTTGCTTCAATAAGGGACCCTGGCTATCTCAGAAGAGACCCCACAATCGATTTCCAGAACCTTTTAGATCACACTGACCCTTATAATCTTTGACCTGATTGAAAAGTGATTAGGACACCAAGAAGCAGGCATTGCAACATCTGTAACATGTGAGTGGAGAGGTTTGATCACCACTGCCCTTACTTAAATAACTGAGTTGGGTACAGAAACCACGCTTATTTCCTTGCTTACATCTCCTCCATGGCTATCACAATGCTTGTAATAGTAGGGTTCATCATCTTCTCATTTGTAAATCACCCAGAAGAGAAGAAAGCATGGGAATTTATGAAGGGTACTTACCCTGTATACGTGCACTATGTCCTATGAAGCCTAATCCTCTGTGTAGTAGTCTTCTTCTTCCCATTCACTTCAATTCTCAGCTTAATTCACTGTTGGAATTTCGGCAAGAACCAGACTACGAATGAAAGGTTTGCCAGGAAGAACGATGGGGATAATCCGTCGATGATCTCAAAGTCGCTGCTCGACAATAGTCATAACGATACCTCCGAGAGGCCGTCTGGGTGGAACAATGAAAACACAACTGATATGCTCGGAGACTCAAGCAACAACGACACTCTGCTCAGGACTACCTTCATTGGGCCTAAGAACGGCACCTGATTAGGAAATTGCTTCAGGATGATCAACTATAAGCCTCCTTCACAACAAACCATGTTGAGGGAATACATGTAGTTTTTGGTATAAAATTAATCAATTTTATGTGTCTACATTGGGGTTTTGGGGTTTTGGGGTTTTGGGGTTTTGGGGTTTTGGGGTTTTGGGG